CTTGCAGAGTTATATGAACTCAGAGAAACCTGTGGAAGATGTTTCAACAAAATTTTTAAAATTTCCAATACTTGAAGTGAGGTTCTATGCAGTGACTTCTCATTTAATTTCTGTAAGATGGTATATAATTTGAGAATTTATATGTGACAACCAGTAGTGATTAAATAACTATACTGAATTTTTGTCTACTGCAAGGGATTAGCTCAGTTGGTTAGAGCACGGTAGTCTTAATGCCAGGGTTGTGGGTTTCATCCCCATATGGGCCATTCATATCAGAGTTGAACTTGATAATCCTTGTGGGTCCCTTCCCGCTCAGAATATGCTGTGATTCTGAATGTATATCCTGACTGACTCTTCAGGCAAGAAAAGCAAGACGCAAGAAAAATAGAAATATGACCCTAAAAATACAACCTGGGGTGACTTGGAATGGAATGTAAAAATATGGTCAAATGCAGATTACTCAAGTACTAGTTGCTTTATAAACCTAATATGGTGAGAAGATGGACACGAAAGAATGAAAGCTTTGTCATGGTTCTTACCCTCATTGCTAGGGGTTTCAATAAAATCCAAATCTGTTTATAATTTTCTATAATGCCCATTGCTTTATAATGGATAATGAATGCCCTTCTGCTGGGGACTATGTGCCGGTTCATTCTTGAGGACTCCAGTAAGAAATGCAATTCTTGGATGGCTTTATCAGACTTCCAGGGATCACCTCCGTGTTGGGGCAATTCTGTGCACTGGAGGGTTCTGTAGGGGGTTGAGCTACCTTACCCCATATGGCCATGTCCTAAAGGTCATTTTAAGGTGGAGGATATTTATTACTTGAAAGGAAATGGAAGCAGATGCTTCCATGAGCAAAGTCAGGATGGAGCTATTAATTTGCCAAAGAGAGATGAAACAACCAACAGATCTGGTCTTCTGAGTTTGATCAGCACAGTAACTCCATGGACCAGGCAGAAGGAGCCTTAGTTTTGAGGGCACAAGTCCTGAGAAGGATTCTCATACAAAACATGCTGGCTGAAGGATTTTAACCTTGTTCTGTATTGATTTTCACCTAGGAAGTACTGAATACTGTTTGCAATTCTAGTTAAGATGTTTTTGGCCATTGAGTGTTAGTGCATCTACCACTGGAAACCACTTCCAAAACCTCTGAAGAAACAGGTGGAAGGCTAAGAAGATGAGAAATGCATGAGTTAGTCGATTAAGTGGAGGTCATAAATGAACCCTGCTTTTCAAGAGGCATCATCAAACATTTGTCTGAAAAGATAAATTTGCAAAGAGGGAAGCAGGTGTCAAATTCCCTTTTGGCAGCTGGATCTTAAAAGCAATTAGAATGAACAGCTACCTGATCTAAAGCTCAAGACACCAGGAGGATGTGCCTTAACAAGTGGAAGGAAACACATATCCATGGGGTTTACAACTCTCATGCTGTAGGGAGGATGCAGAACAGTAAGGAAATGTGCTGACATGCCTAAATTGTGGCAGGATATAGGAGCCTGGCACTGGCAGAGAGGAGGAACTTGAGGATGATTTTTGAGCTCTGTATGCAAACAGCTGTCTGTCTTCCACAGCATGCTGTAGAAAAATAGAGGTTTTGAACCATTAGAAAAGCAAAGGAAGTGCTATAGCCCAGATTTTGATCATAATTACACCCAGGTGGTTCTGAAGTGACTACACCCGTGTCATTGAAGTTACACCAGTGCAAAACTTGTGTGAGAACTGAATTGAGCTCTTTGTTTTCTTGCATTTGTGTACCAAAAGAGTACTCTAACAGCTCTTAGTAAATAATAAATTAATAATGATATGATTATCTCCCTTATGACTGGAAGAAGTACAGAAAAATAAGTGTCAGAGTAAGAATATGCTTGCAAGATTATTTGAATGTGTCATTTCTACATTTGTATTGAGTATAGGATGCTTTGCTGGACTAATTTTAATTTCTGGACAAACTTAAATTTTTATTTCAAACATCAGAAACATCTGATGTAGTCAGGTAGTATGTAGTGAACAATAGAAAGACTACAACATACAGGTCATAGTTCAAATGAGCCAGACCTTTGGTCTTTGCATAGCAAAGTACCTTTAAAACCCCAGCAGAAAGCAGTAATGAAAACAACTAATGAAGACAAGTGCTTTTTCTGTCTCCCTGCTGTAAAGCAAATAATATTTTAGTAGTTGGTTTCATTTGTGTTTCCCCATTTGTGTCTCAGAATACACCAGATTGCAATGTTACATCACATTTTTAATGACTGGAACCATGTCCTGAGATCCCCCTCTGACCACACCACAACTTCTTTCCTTTCTCCTCCTGGCTAAAGGACTGTATGTAATTATGATGAGGACATAATTCAATTAATTATTGACAGAACATGTAATTGCCACTCAGATCTCTCTCTGATAAATCACTCCGCACTCTCTGACTTCTGTTTGTCATGCACTAGGGAGGTGGAAAGGCACTAAAAATGCGTTTTAAAGATAGGACGTTTCTCAATCCTTTGAATCAGTCGGAGAGGCTTCTGCCGCCCTGGGCTCTTTAGATGTACAGCGTATTGTTCTCGTCTGTGCTAAACAAGTATCCCCGAGAAAGCTCAGTGGGATGGAAGCTTATGATTCATTTTAAGTGGAGGATATAATAGGAGCAGATAACTTTGATTTGTGCAAAGGAAAAGTGTGATCTCTTTCAGGGATTCCAGGAATTCATAGCAAATTTTTCTTCTGTTGCTGATTAAAGAGAAAGTGATAAATAAGAGCTCTGTGTTTGGTTTAAAGGAGGAATGTAGCTTTAGAAAGCTGACTTATTTAAGGGAAAAAAAAATCCTGACCTCATATAGCCTTTGACCAAGATCTGCTAGTAGTAGAGTAAAGATGAGGCTGTTTCTGTTATTATTAAAGCCCACAGTGACCATTTCTGTCTGTATGACCGGAAAATATCCTGGGGGCCAGGCTGGGGTGGGGATGTGCCCGGGTCTTGCCCGTAACTTCGGATTACAACTAAAGCTTGCCAAAAGCGGATAAAGGAAAGAGATAACGAGGTGAGAAAGCAAAGAATGGCTTTATTGTAAAGTCAGGAAAACTAAGCTAAAAAAAAAAAAAAAAAAAAAAAAAAAAAAGAGAGAGAAAGAGTAATCGCATACACAGAGGCTGCCCTTGTAGCCGAGAGACCCGCTGCTCCTTCCCTTTGGTTTTTACGGCAGGACGTGCGTAGGGCTGGGAAAGGCGCTGCAGGGCCGGGGCCGCGCCGGGAGCCGCAGGCAGCCGGGCGGAGCGGGGGGCTCTGCTGTCCCGCAGCGGGGCAGGGCGAGGTTTCCTGGCGCTCTGCAGTCTCGTACCAGCGAGGAGCGCTCATTCGCCCCTCGTGGGGTGGCGGGAGGGAGCCGAGGCTGATGTGCCCGTGCACCAGGCGGGAGGCACTGACGGGGGCTGGCCGCGGCTCAGGCATCCACACCTTTGCAGTGCCTGGGCGGGCGCTGCCCGTGCCGGGGGGAGCGGGGTGATGCCGAGGAGAGCGGGGTGATGCCCTGCCGCAGCCTGTCCTGCTGGCTCTGCCGCCGAGGCTTCCCTCCGCTCCGGGACCTCGCAGAGGGCTCTGTACTTGGCGCCCAGCGCCCGGGCAGGGGAAGCAAGACCACCTCAGGGTGGGCTCTCGCCCCGCCGCCCCAGCATCAGCCGGAGGCACCTGAGCCGGGCAGAAGCGGTGCCTTGAGTCCCGTGCCGGGGGGCCCGCTCTCGGGGGCAGCGGAAAGGGGACGAAGGGCTGAACGGGTTTCGAGCACGTCAGAGCAGGCGCAATGGCCGGGAGGGTCGGGAAGCCCGAAGCGGGCACCTGAGCCGGATCCTTTGACAGCTCAACAGAGCGGCCCGATTTTCAGGGGGGCTGCGGGGGCGAAGGGGCTGGACGAGCGGAGTCAAAGCATCTGATTTCTCTGTGAGGGACCACTCGGTGCTGCTTTTGTTGCGGGGAGAGGCGGGAGCGACTACGCGTGCTGGTCTAAACCGTGAATGTTGAAAGACTGGAAGGAACATTGCGGGTCCAGAGGAGCATTGTCAAGGCAGGGGCTGTAACGCACTTACAAACAGCTTCCCGCAGGTTTAGTTTAGCACTGCGGGCGCCACTCGGTGCCCAGCTGCGGAGAGCGGCGTCCGCCGCTTGCCCTACCTTCGGGCCGTGCACCCCTCTCCAAAACTTAGGGGCTTAACAGCTCAGGCGCCTCGTCCCGCTGCTGTCAAGGACGTGGAGGCGTTCACAGGCGCCACGGGTGGTCTTTAAAGACCCACTGTTTCTGGGCAGCTTTGTACGGCTCCCGCGGAGGTTGCGGGATGCTCTCCACACCCTGTCTCACCTGTCGGGATCCAGGAGAGCAAGGTTCGGCACCCCGTACCCTTTCAAGCGCAGCTGCCGGGCCCCGGGGGCGGGGCTGGGCCTGGCACGGCCGGGCTGGGCGCTGCCCTCCTGCCCGAGCCCCTCAGCCGCGCTTCTCCGCAGGTGCGGGTCGCGCTGCCCCCGTCCGGGCTCCGCTCCTGCACCGCCTGCGTGCCCGAGACGAGGTGTTCCCTGCGGGGAGGCTCTCCCGCCCAGGACGGCTTTCCCCAGACTGTGATTTGGTCGGGACTCACTTGCCTGCACGGCGCCGGTCTGCCCCGCACCTTCGCCCTCCAGGGCTCAGGGCTCAATCCGGGGCCGGCTCGCTAAATTCACGGAGGGAGTACACGGTCCTCCTGACCGGTATGCTCCCCCAGGAGCCCCGGAAGTTTGCATTTCCCCATGGGGACACCCAGTACTCTCCCCTTCCTCCGGGTCGCGGGCGGTGCGCGCTCCTGCAGCCGCCGAGCCAGAGCTCGCCGCCCCCGAGCCCCCGGCAGCGCATCCTCTCCCGCCTGCCGCTCCGCCTGCCCCTCCTCGGCTGCGGGGGGTGTTGCGAGGTAGGCAAAAGGGAAAGTGAACGTAGCGGTCTGAAGACAGAGAAAGGCAGTCAACCTTAGACGTGTAGTTACTCAACCTTTATTATTTAAAAAAATTCATAAAAAAAGGAAGGTGAACGAACGTCTTACAAAACCCCCCCACATAAATAGGACATTCCGTCCAGCTCTGGCTATTGGCAGTTCTAGTATTTGACAACATCAGACGCGATTTCCTGGCATTAGAGAAACCCATTTCAAAATCGGTCATCACAAAGAAATACTAGAAATCCCAGTTAGCACTTGCTAGGCAGCACGGAGCACTTGTACACAACTTTTCAGACACACACCCGCGCACACACGCAGCTGGGAGCAGATCCCGTAGGAAGATAGCCTCCTTAAAAAATAGTAAACGCTTCTTAAAAAAAAAAAAAAAAGAAAAAAAAAAGAAAAAAAAAGGAAAGAAAGTGAGTTATTTACAAAACGCACATGGAAATTCAGTATTGACAGAGCGTGGCTGGCAAATCAACATGATTTGAATAGAGAAAGGACTATGGCACGTCTTGCTCGAAAGCTCGCACAGCAGCCTCCTTCGAGTGTCCCCGCGGGAAGACAGCTCCTGCCATCCGCGACGCAGTGCCTTCTCCCTCCCCACCTCTCCTCCCGCCCTCCCTCGCCTCTCCACCCCTGCGCTTCTTGCCAGGTCCTTTTTACACTTGGATGACCACCGTGCTGGGGCTCTGGAGCCGGGTTTTGTACTGGTCTAGCCAGCTCCTCAGCTCCGAGATCTTGTAGCCCTCTGGTCCTCTGCCTCCCTGGTACATCACCTTCTCCTCCTGAATGATGTAGAGCCTCTCGAAGTAGGCACCGTAGGCGGCGCTGGAAGCATTGTCCATGGTGTCCACGGCCAGGGGGCAATCGGGCGCCCCTTCCCTCATCAGCTGAGCTGCCCGCAGCCTGTCCTGGAGGCACTGGTGCTTGGGGATGTTGTAGGCTGCATCCGAGCTGACCCAGCCGTCGGAGGGGTGTGCTTCTTCGATGTACACCAGCAGGAAGTCGGCAATGTCCACGAAGTGCGCGGCCAGGCGCTGGAAGGACCTCAGGCGGGCCATGAACGGGGGTCAGGTGCAGCTGCCGAAGTTGAGGATGAGGGGTCTCTTGCCGCGGGCGAAGTCCAGGATGCGGAGCCTCTTCTGCCCGTCCAGCTGGATCACCTCGGGGTTAGGGGCCAAGGAACCCACGTGCGCCGACTTGAAGAAGTCCAGCTTCTGCCCGTGCCACACGGCTTTCAGCGACTCCAGCGTGAACATGCGGTTGGAGTCGGACACGCAGACCGGGGGGTCGTCGGGGGGCGGCTCCTCGCTGGCGCTGGCCGCCTCCTCCGCCGTGGGCATCGTCAGCATCTTCTTCCTAATGCACAGAAAATCCAGGAGCCAGAGCATCACGGCGGTGAGCAGGAAGCGGGGAAATAGGAGGATGCAGGCGGCCGCCTGGGTGAGCAGCTGCAAGGTGTGAACGCCGACGGAGTGGAGCATCGTAGCGGCTTGTGCTGCAGGGCGCTGGCTGCCGGGGGGCCCCCACGCACCCTGCGTGCCGGGGTCTGTGCAGCACAGCTGAGATCCCGCTTCTCTTTAAGCCCATTTTATAGTCAGGGATTTAAATGAAAAGTGACTCCACCTCCGTCCAGAACCCGCCCCTCTGGAACTTGAGCCTGGGGATTACCTACCCCTCCACTCTAATGACCTAAAAATACACAGACAAAAGGGGAGAGAGCCCCGGCGAGAGCCGCGAGGGACGTGCAACGGAGCAGGGTGCAGCCGCTATCAGGCGGGGCAGAGAGTCCGACACAGGGCATCGCCGGGGTCCCCGGCCCCAGATAGCGGCGGGCGCTCCCAGACAGCCCCGCCAAGGACAATGCAACAGGCACAGCCCGCCCCCGGCCCGGCTCCCCACGGGCTGTGCGGGCACGGGGCCGGGGCGGGAGCGGGGGCCGGGGCCGGGGCCGTCCCGGCAGCGCCTGCAGGTGACAGGGACGGGCCGCCCTCGCCGCGTCCCTTCCCGCGCCTTCCTCCCCTCCCCGCCCCGGCAGCCCGGTCGCCCCCCGAGCACAGCCTCCACCCCACCGCACGCTCCGGCGCCGCGGGAGCACCCGGGTCTCGAACCCGCGGCCACATCCTCCGGCGGCGGCGGCGGCGGGACGGGCGGCGGGCACTGCCCCGGCCCCGCTTTTCCCCCGGGCCCGCGCCAGGTGGGTCGGGCCCCGGCGGCGGCGGCGGCCCCGGCGCGGGGGCACCAGGTGGGCGCGGGCCGGTGGGCGCTGCCCCGGGCGGAGGAGGGCGCGGGCGGCCGCCAGAGGGAGCTGTTGGCCGAGAAGCCGCGGCGCCGGCGGGAGCGCGGGGCCCTCAGCCCCGGCCGGGGTGTCCGCGCCTGGCCCCGGCCCCGCCACCTGCCCCGGCCCCGCACCTGCCCCGGCCCCGCCACCTGCCCGGGCCCCGCACCTGCCCCCTGCGGCACTCGGCAGTACCGGGCTGCATCGCGGCCGCTGCGGGGCCGGGGCTGCGGGAAGCGGCACAATGGGTGGGCAGGGGGGACGGTGGAGGCGACAGGACAGCGCTGCGTCTGCGATGTCCCGCTGCTCACTGGGGTCCTGCTCCATCCCTCTGAGCAGCGAGTCACTCCTTTACGCCGTCCCAGGAGGAGACAGCAGTACTTTTCTGCACCTGTCAAGTGACATACAAACAAGCTTCTCACGAGACTAGGTCTGGCAAAACTCTTAAACTGAGGGCTGAGGTGTCACCTCACGAGCATGACCTGTGTGCCGTCCACAGAGTGCACACGCGAGTGGTTTTGGGTTGGGCGGGTTGTGTATCGGTAACAAAGTGTTCACGGTATACAGGGCTAAACACTGACTGGCCACCTTCAGTCTTCACCCATCAGAAGGAATTTATGGCCTGTAAATTCCTTCCTGCTGAACTAGATGGAGACCTGTCCCAGAAGTACAGAGCTTAAACGTAGTTTGGTGTTTCCGCTCAGAACTTTGCCACTCCATTTTTGCAGGGTTCCCAGCTTGCAGCATGCGCATCATTTCTCCACCAGCTTCCTCAGAAAAGGACATTACTTGTCCAAAATGCTGAACACTGCCCTCTGCTATGCAAATGTGGCTCATGCAACTCTGAGCTGCTGCTGCAGCTGCCACTCACCCAGGTGCCTGTCACACTGACTTCGGGAGACGCAACCCGGTGTGCCTGTGGGTCCTGAGTGCCCTGCTTCTGCCTATGGCCAATACCAGGTCTCTGGCTGCAAATTCTCAAAGACCCACAATTTTCCCAGGCTCAGTTCATGCTCCAAAAATTACTGTGCGTGTCTGTGGATCCTCCTGCTTATCATCTACAAAATGGAAAAATGAATGCTGAACCTCCTCATGGGAGGCAAGGGAGCTTGCTTCATTTTTATGTAACTTACTACAAGAACCCTAAATAAAAGGCAAAATTAAAACCCCATTTTATTTTTTTCTTTATCTGGTTCTGAATAGGCTGGTTTAGAGCAATCTAATCTGGTGCCTGGTTTGTAGCGCCCTGGTGCATCATCTTTAGTTGGAGTCAACATAAAGGTAATTCAGTATTTCAGCATCTGAAGAGAAACGTATGCTCCAGCCCTCACAAAGCCATGTTCATCCACTAGCCTGATTAATAGCTTCTTTGGCATTCCACGGTGCTCAGTCCAGGGAAAATTACTGAGTAGATATTTACTATATTGTCAAACTTATTTTGAACTGTTCATGTGGGCCTCTCACCACCTCTCTGTGCAGTTATGCAATCTTGAAAACCACAAATTAAAGCCTCTAAAGAGACGCAATAACAAATTGTGGTAGCTCTGAAGAAACCCCCAGGAAAAAAAATTGATCTCTCAAAGTGACCTCTTCAAACTATGCTGACAGACAAAGCCTGAGTAAACAGATGGGTTTGCAACCCTGAATATCAACAAACTTTGCTCTACTAGATCAGTCTGAGGTAAAAATGCTATCTGGTCTTATATACTCTATTTACAGCTGGATAGGGACTTTGGAAATTACTTTTTCTCCATTCCCTGTAAACAGCTTTGCTTTGTTTTTATAGCTAGAAGGAAACCTTTGAATTGGGGTTTCTTTTCAACTGTGGATAGAGCAGAGAACTGAAGCATTTTGCTTCACTAGCCCACTGCTACACTTTCCTGCCCCAGGAAAATTCAACCATGTCCTGAGGCCACTGTTTCACGGTGAAACAAATGGTGGCTCTGCATGGTCCTACAAGCCATGCTCTGACATTCTCAGCCAAGGTGGAGCGCTCATGTATTAACTCTGTGGGAAAGGGTGGAATTCCTTCTGCAGCCCTTTGGTTCTCAGAAGGTTTGAAGTGACGTCTTGCTGCTCTTCTCATGTCTGTGTTAAGCTGGATGTTTTTCAAAATCCTGTGTTTTAACTCTAGTAAAACCCCTCTCTACTTCCCAAAGGCTGTACGTCCCAGTTGGAACTTGGATTATTTTTAGGTGTGTGAAGGTAGTTAGTCTTTCTAGGAATCCGTATCACTGATATTAATAGTGTGGGAACTTATGTTTTCCTGTATACTGAGGATTTCATAGAATATATCCTAAAATATGGGTTTTACAGTGGCACATCTGGTTATGGGTGGTTTTTACTCTTCTGCATGTGGTCTGTGGTTCAGCAGTCACTAACTTAAAAATACATAAGTTTGTGTGTGTGTGTCCTCACACAAGTGCACATACACGGTTCACATTATTTCCTTTTTTCTGAGAACTTTATAGCTGTAGTTTTTCTTCATTTGATAAATGTAATTTATAAGTCTTTTAAAGTTCTTTTCATAAACAGGAGCTACAAAATAAATTCAGTAACTTATAAAAGCAAAACCTCAAAAAGCTGAAATTAAAACCATCAGGTCTGCTTTGATGTAGAGGTTGTGTTGAAATGGTATATTTACATGTTTATTTTCTATTTTATAATTTCCTGCACAAAGGCACGCAATACTTTCTGACAGGAACTGAAATGTATTTTGGAAGAGTTCCACCTCTCATGTCATCTAAGCTCCATGTTGTTAATGTGGTAGAACTCTATGTGAAGGAAATGAAAAAGACTTTCCTGAAATAAGAGTTGGACAATTTCTACTCATCTAAGTGGCTACCCGGTGACTGAAGAGAGGTGCAGCGGTAAATTACTCACCTGTCTGGTATCTGTAAGAAGTGGGTAAATGTTATATTGCTGAAATTGGTGGTGGATAAACTCCATTTGCAGTTGTTTGCTTGTAGTGACATCTCTGGAAAAAAAAGTTACCATATGCTGGAGACTGTACATGGGTCTGGCTGTCTCTGGAGCTGCCTCTCTCTTAATCTTTCACCACTTTTAGATGACACCTGCTTTTATTTTCCTACCTTCCGCCTGTTTTTTTTTTTTTTAAATAAAATATATATGACTCAGAAAAAACATACGAATCCAAGCACCTAGGCAATGCCTGGAGTATGGAAAGAAAAAAGTGCTGTGCTGCAGATTTGTCTATAAAATCACTAGCAGAGCCATGGCCTTTGAATCTCCTACCCACCCTGCTACTCTTACCTTCAAATACATGACAAGTGTGTCATATATAACAAAGAGGTTCCCTGCACTGAAGCTTTCAAAATTTTTCCCCCTCACTTTTTGCTGACTCTGGGTTGAACAGGGAAAGAGTTTAATTTGGAGAGAGCTGATTCCACAGCCACAGGTCTGTTAGTGCAGTGCTCATCTTGAGTAAGTGGAAACCAACATTTTCTTGAGCCTGTGAACCATCTACGAAGGCTTTGCTGTGTGACCAAGTGTACAGTCCCCCCGATGTGTTAGTGGGTTTCTGCACCTGCCTCTCCATGGATGCTCTCTAGTGCCCCTGTTGGGCCATCAGCCTGTCAGGCTGGACTAGAAACTAGATAAACAAAAGATTCTGGATTAAAGAATTCTGGTTTTAAACCCAGATGGTTTTGGTGAGCGGGTTTACTTTAGAATCCCTAAAATATTGTCTAATAGCATAACTTTCAATGCAACTTGAATGACAAAAGGTGCAACTTTCCATCCCATTAATCCTTTCTCACTTCTGCTTGCACTGGGTCTTGTGTGATCTTGAAGTGATCTGCAGTGACGTGCTTTGGGGACTTAGAGGGCAGAAGAGCTTGGCTTTAGAAAAAAAGAGCTATTTCCTGACAGGTTAGTTCCCTAAACTTGCTAATGATGAAATGAATTGATATCTGTGATGCAGGGGAGGCACAAGGGAAATGGCCACAGCTCGTGGCCAAGGCAGGGCTAACAGGACCATCCCATCAGACTGACTTAGCAATATTATCCATCTGCCCCTGGGTGAAATTGCATAGTTAGTATGTGTTAAGAGCAGAAACAAGTTTCACTGCAAATGTGTATAGTCTTACCCTTTTGTGTAGTGGAAGAGCATAGGAGATGTACAGGAGGTCACAGTGGCTGTTGCAAGGTCCTGCTGGGCAATGTAGCTGGATAGGGTGCACAGCTGGCTTCTGGGGGAGCCAGCAATATTAACTTCAACAGCAGCTGCTAACACACCTCCATCAGTGGGAAATCAGATTATCCAGAAACCCCCATGCAAAGCACATCCTTGCTACCCATCAAGAAAACTGCTCAAAAGCTGCTGTGGCTCAAGAGCTTGGGCCAGGCCCCCTGGTAGTACAGTATAATCACAGTCATCTGAATGGTTTGCTCTGCAGCAAAGACAACAGTCTAGTCCAGAAGTGGAACCCCGTAGAGTTCTACTTAAGCAGTGACTTTATACACAGTGAATACAGATGA